TCCTTCGTGCAGAGGCGTATTCTCACCACCCAACAAAGATGATTGTGTTTCAGTAAGGGCTCTGATATTTCGGATCTCATTGGCGATATGATCCTCCTCTGGCGGAGCTCGTGGTGTCCTAATCGGCGTCGCTCCGACGATAGAAGTGTAGTTACCGATCAAACCTCGAGTTGTTTCTTCGTCGCCAGACATCTTACTGGCCCTGTCTCCGGCCATGCCCATTTTGATAATGTCCTCCATTTCGCTTTCACTCACTTGAGGAGTTGGCAGGGCGAGCGCTCGTCTCTTACTGCTCTGCTCAGCCTCGCGAATCTTCTGCATTTGGCCGGCCCTTGCGGCAGCAGCGAAAGCGGAGCTACCATTCTTGTCGTTCTTTCTCTTCTTTCTATCCGCGTCTTCTTCCTGATCCCCTTTTCGCTTGTTCGCAAGTTGTTGTTTTCGAGGATCAAACATTTCTCGCTGTCTTTCGTTTCGAGCGTCCTCTTCCATGGTATCGTAAAATCCAGGTGCTGCTGGCTTCTCAAATGGGATGTCCGCGTTATAGTCCATTTCCCCCTTCTTCCGGGTAACGACTTTGATATTGATGCCAGCATTTTTAAGTTCACGACGTTTTTGCAGGACAGCGAGTCTTCGGGACTCTTCGAGTTGCCGTTCTCTAGCCTTGCGCTTCGCCTTCTTTCCTTGGGTGTTCGCCAAACGAGCCCGAGCTTCGCTCAGCATTTCCTTCTCGTCTTCGTCGAGATCAATCGTGTCGGGACGGGCAGGTTTCGATTCCGGATCGGGATCCAATTCACCGGGTCTTTAAAATATCAGCAAAGCGAACGTCCTTTCAATCAGTGCGGCCTCATACCTTAACCGTCTCACATCGTCCGCACTAGGTGCAGCCGCCTCGCCGCCAGAGGGACCTCCTAATCCCAGCTCATCGTTTTCCCGGGCCTCGGCTTCATCTAGCAGTTTCTGATAGCGTTCAAGGCATTGTGTTGCTGTCCTTCCGACGATAGGGGCGATTGTACGCCACTGTGTTGGCATCAATTTCGCCAGATGCAGCAGCTTCTCGTCTTCTTCCCTCGACCATTCGACCTTGCGAATACCAGGATCCAACCACTCTACCCATCGTGCTTTGCATTGTTTAGGGGTCTTCCTCGCAAGGAGAGAAGAGACACGCGCCCATTGGTTCAGACCATACTTAGATACCTAGACGAAAGAAGTCGTGTCAGCTCACCAACTCTGGTCGTCCTCCGAGTGAAGTAGAACGCAAGACATACAGCCGCCCGGAGAACTTCATCCTCAATATTGGTCCTAATCACCCGTTAGCCGTGCTGAGTTCCTCAGAATCGAAAACGCAAATAGACTTACCAGACTCCTCCTTTGACAACGGGCATGGCGAATATGGTCGCTCAGCGCGAACGATTTCCACCAAGAAATTTGTGTACTGATATACGAATAAAAGGATCTTCAGATTCCTCTGATGCACTAAGTGAGACTGCGCTGGCCAGAGTCGATAGTGAATCGACGCGGGTCAGAAAGCGAAATTCAAGCAGGAAGGTCTTTAACTTGAGCGGCCGCACCACTTACGCCGCAAAGGAACATTAGCGCGGCAGCCGACCCTAGCGTCGCCCCCGCGATACCACATTAGGTAAGCGGGTCCGGATTTTTTGAATTTCTTCAGATCGTTATCGCAGCGACAAAAAAGACACAAAACTACAATTTGACAATTTGAATCTGACTGCAAAGGGCTTCATAATGTCGGCCACGGTTGAAGCTCCAAATCAATTCAAACAACCTTCTCGTAAGGGCAAGAAGGCCTGGAGAAAAAATGTCGACGTTACGGAGGTCCAGGAAGGCCTTCGTCTTCTGAAAGATGAAGAAATCAAAGGGTATGTACCCTCGAATGGACTCTTATCTAGAAAGCCCTTTTCCGATCTTATATGCTGATGTAATTCCTTCTGTACAGTGGTGTTCTAGCAGAAAAGCCTTCAGAAGAATTGTTCGTCATCGATAAGAAGGGCTCCGCCGAGATCAGAAATGCATACTTCAAACAGCACAAGCCTCTGAAGGCCGATGAGATCCTAGCCCAGCGTTCTGCCATTCCTGCAGTGGATACCCGCAAGCGTTTGAACTCGAAAGTCACAGACGGTGTGATTGAACCGAAATCCAAGAGGCACAAGAGCGACTGGGTCACCCGCAAGGAATGGCTGCGCTTGAAGCAGGTGGCCAAGGAAGCGAATCCGACTCAGAAGGCGGAAGGGAGCGAGCTTTACGACCCTTGGGCAGATGTTGAAGACTCAACACCTGTTGAAGACCCTCAGTTTGATTACCTCGAGAAGCCCAAGCCTAAAGTTGCACCTCCGACGGTCAAGCAACCTCCAATTTCACTTGCCGCAAATGGAAAGCCAATCCCGTCTGTTCGTACACCAGATGCTGGCATCAGTTACAACCCGTCATTCGAGGATTGGGATCGCCTTCTACAAGAGAAGGGGCAAGAAGCCGTAGAGGCTGAGAAGAAGCGCTTGGAAGAAGAGCGGAAGGAGCAAGAGAGGCAGCGCCTTATTGCCGAGGCACAAAATGATGATGGCGAAGTCAAATCTGACGATGAGAGTGCCTGGGAGGGGTTCGAAAGCGAATATGAGAAACCAGAGTGGCTGAACAAGAAGCGTCCAGCGCGGAAGACGAAGGCAGAGAGAAATAAGGTCAAGAGGCGCAAGGAGGCCGAGAGGAAAGCTAAATGGGAAGCCAAGATGAAACAGAAGGAAGAGCAACTTGAGCAAGCGAAGGCTATCGCGGAACAGGTGCAGCGGAGACAATTCGAACGCAGCCAGGAGTCTGAAGATGATTCTTCCGAAGCGGGAGATGATGTCGCTTTGCGGCGTAAGCCATTGGGCAAAACCCGGTATGTTTTCCTTGATCTCAATTTCCGGATCTCACACGTACTGACTTGGCAATAGTGTGCCCGAGAAACCGTTGGAGGTTGTACTCCCAGACGAACTTCAAGACTCATTACGTCTACTGAAGCCGGAAGGAAATCTACTAGATGATCGCTTCCGCACGTTAATAGTGCAAGGAAAGCTGGAATCTCGCAAGCCGGTGACACAGGCCAAGAAGGCAAAGAGGAAGCTGACGGAGAAGTGGACATACAAGGATTTCAAGGTCCCAGGATTGGAGATTTGATAATTGGATTTCCTTTTTTTTCTTTTGCACTTCACAAAAGCGTGTTGCTATGGACTGGCTTTGCAATATAGAAATCATTCCACATTCTCAATCTCGCAAATCGACCTCAGTGACTCAAGCTACCATTTTGCTGTGACCCCAATGCTTAGGTAGGTAAGATTGATCTGGTATCGGCTCTATAAGCCAATAGATCCACGGAGTGCATTAAACCGTAGTGTTCGAGACTAAAACGGTTGCCTGAGTGGGGCCTAAGGTTGTCCAAATTTTTAGCGCATCTATCTAATCGCCGATTTTTTGGAGAAAGATATGGAATGTTACAACCATACCCTTCTCAAGACCACCTCCTCTTTCCTTCAGACCATCATGATGCTTTAGTATCGCACATACCTTTGGCATGGACGTCAATAATCTTTCCAGTAATTGGAAGAAACTTCAGGAGACGCTGAAAACACAAAGCGCTTCCTCGGCCTCTAAGAAACGCAAGACATCAGACCGCGAGACTCAAAATGTTGCAATCAAGAAGCAGAAAACAGAGACAATAGAGCGCAAGAAGTCTTCAATAAAAAAGAGAAGAATGTCCGAGGGACAGGAGTATGGAGGGGACAGGAGCGCACAGGAATCTGTGGTGAAAACTATTTCCCGCAAAAGCTCTACGGCTACGATCTCCGAGCACTCACGGACTGAGTTCAAGACAGCAAAAGTTAACGAGGGTCGTTCACCTACGTTAGTAATTTCTATCCTATATATATTATCTGCATCATCTAACCCCTCTTCAGCGCAGAAATAGGTAAATATGTCGCTATGGACTGCGAAATGGTGGGAGTCGGTCCCAACCCGGATAACGATTCTGCCCTCGCGCGTGTCAGTATTGTCAACTTCAACGGCGAACAAGTATATGATTCGTACGTCAGGCCCAAAGAGATGGTTACAGATTGGCGGACGCATGTGAGCGGCATTTCTCCCAAGCACATGGCCGAGGCTCGATCCCTCGAACAAGTCCAGAAGGAGGTTGCAGAGCTTCTTGACGGGCGAATACTCATTGGACATGCTGTGAGCAATGACTTGGATGCTCTTCTTCTGGGCCATCCCAAGCGCGACATCAGAGACACAAGCAAGCATCCTCCTTACCGAAAGATCGCGGGCGGCGGCTCTCCACGCCTGAAAATACTGGCGTCGGAGTTCCTAGGCTTGAATATTCAGGACGGCGCGCACTCTAGTGTCGAAGATGCCAAGGCTACAATGCTCCTGTATAGACGAGATAAGGAGGCATTCGAGCGGGAGCATTTGAAGAAATGGCCAATTCGCGTCGTCGTCGACAAAAAGGAAAATGGCGAGGACCAGAAGAAGAAGAAGAAGAAGAAGAAGAAGAAGCCTCGTAAGAGGTAGTGAAACCTCATAGCTGCAGTTGGAGACCTTATATACCCCTAGACTTCTGTCTCTTGTGTACATATCGCATCATCCATTATTTTGAAGGACCAGCTTCGAATAATTTGATAACTCAGGAAAAAAAATTTTCTATTCCTGATAGAATTCAGTATACCACCGTCATTCTCATTCCCATCTTTGGTCCAGCATCTTTACGTATTTCGCTGGTCTAGGGAGGTATACTACATTGAATCTGCAGCAATTTGACCGTTTTGGGATGGCGCATTTCCTATCCGGGCGACGCGTCGTGTCAGCGTGTTCCGAAGAACAACCATACTGCTACAATAAAGCATCCCTTCTAAAAGTACAGGCATTGAACAAGCGCTAACTAATTTTTAACTCCTCTTCTGATTGCTTTGCAACCTGTACAGAGTGCTCGACAAGACTTTCTCACAGCTAGTCTAGAAATGTTCGCCATCCAAGTACCTCAAAAACAGTCATCTGCAGCCGATAATGAGAAGTTGATGGAGAATTGCACCCCTAATATCCTTCCCTGTAGAATCCACCATGATGGGTTCGTTGAGACGCTAGGGCGTTACTGGAACCCTGTGTCGGATGAGAAGAGTAAGCATTGTGTTATGCACACGGAGTCAATTTTCCCTATGTCTCTCTGTCTGTCTGCTAACATTTACGCAGATGAGAGCCTACAGACTGCTTACTTCCGAGGACGCAAGCTTCGAGGCCGACGTGTTGCAATTCCGGAAGGCTATCAGGGTACGACCTGCATCTGCTGACCATGTGTAATACAAGAGTTAATCTGGCCCTACAGGAATAGTTGTGCAGCCTACTGAGCGTGTTCTACCGCCTAAGAGAAGAGACACCGGATATGAGGTCGAAAATATTCAAATCGAGCAAGAAGAGCCGACCAAGGTACTAGAAAAGCAGACTACTTTTGACGAATTCATGGTCTGGGGCCATGAAGAGGTGCCGGCGGCCGATGATGCTTTCGTCAAGGGAGTCGAAGAATGGTTGAAGATGGCTGAAGCGGTATGCAGAGACAACCGTTGATCAGACTCGTGGCTAACCTTCAACCCAGTTACATACGCAACCCAGCGACGCAAAGACAAGTTCCACTTGAATTCTCGGTGCTATTTGAGCTGAACCAATGACTCATCATCACTCATCCCGAGTCTGGGATGCGGGCCCAACTGCCTGAGCGATCTGTTCTCGAGGCGCTGGCCGCTCAGTTGCAAGTGGAATGAGCTATCTAAGCAACATCGAAGTAGCACCGAACTGCTACTTCGAATCCTTTTCACCTCGGATTAGCGGATGGCTGCCAGACTGAGTGAAATGTTGCCCTGGAAATCAGCCGCTCTCTTTGTGACTCCTACTCACGTCTAATGGAAGTAATGGGCTAAAACCCCCAGCCCAGCAACGAGATTACACCGCTGCAATGAGGTGTCCACGCTGTGTTGGTGGAAACGTGATGCGACTGCCGGTATCTGCTAGGGGTACAGTCATCAAAACTCTTCATTTTCAGCCTTGTGCCCTTTCTACAGCATTTTTCTATATAGAAAATTTACGATTCATGCTGCAGATATTACCTGTCTTTGTATTGATAAGATAAGCTCTTGACCGCCTGATAAACTGTAGGTTCTGCCCGACGATTTGGGGTAAAGATAACATTGAAATTCCCAACTGCTACCATCATTATTTTAATCATCAAGTGCTCCTTCCAAGTCACAATGCAGATCCTCGACAGTGGTGAGAAAATTGCCCCTGAGGCTTTAATTCCCAAGTTTGAAGTCGACAGACTCCTCAAGCAAGGTAAAAACTGTCTCCGCTCAAGATTTAGATTCACAAAACAGTGTCCCCGATACGCTTCGTACCATGTACTGAATTGACTGCATGTAACTGATTTGTGGAACTGTATAGATCAAAATGGCCGCCGTATCGCCATACTCGGGTCTATTGACGGCAAGCAAGGCATCCTAATCGCAGAACGAGCAGCATTCGCAACCGAATCTCTCGAAGTCCTCAAGGCATTTCACGCTGCAATCAGCAGAGTAAACAATCTCGGCGACAATGACATATACCGGTGGTACTTGGCATCGTCAGGCGCAGGCCAGGATGAACAGCCGTTCCACGACCTCAAACTCAATCTCATATGGCCTTGCACGGAAAAGCACATCAAAAAATACTCGGATCAGCTACTACGCATGGTGACGGAGACGCCGGAGATCTACCGTGACTATGTGCGGCCGTATATGAGCGCTCAACGGGAGGAAGGCAGACTAAACTGGGTCTTTAATATCCTTGAAGGTCGGACGGAGCAGGAGGACGTGATTCTCCGGGACGCGGGTGAGGGCCCCGATGATGGGTTCCTGATGCTCCCTGACCTCAACTGGGACAGAAAAACGATGAGCTCTCTCCATCTGCTCGCTCTTGTGCAGCGACGAGATATCTGGAGTTTGCGTGATCTCAAGAAGAAGCATATCCCCTGGTTACGGTATCTGAGGCAAAGGCTGCTTGAGGGAACAGTGAAGATGTATCCAGAATTGGAGCAGGACCAGCTCAAGCTATATGTTCATTGTGAGTGTTATTTATTACGGCTGACCTAGTTTGACTGGGCCGACGGAATGTCTACTAATTGCGATGCTAGACCAACCGACCTACTACCATTTCCACATCCACGTGGTCAACGTCATGCTCGAGGCGGGTGCGACACAAGCAACAGGGAAAGCCTTCGGGCTGGAAAATCTCATTTCTCAATTAGAGACTCTGTCTGGGGAGGAAGATGCAAGCATCGCGGATGTCAGTTTGACATACTACCTCGGAGAGGCCAGCGATCTGTGGACGAACGTCTTCTATCCACTGAAGAACGCGTCGAAGCCAGCAATTGCGAACTGAGAGTTGCGATTAGCCATGACTGATGATACTTAGAATTATGCTAGAGGTGTCGAACGTTTATGGTATAAAGGAGAAATAACCATTATACTAGATAATCTTCTGAGCAAATTCATTTACAACTGATACTTTAAGCACCTTGATGCTTCCCCGGATGGAAGCGTGAGCTGACAGTTTCGTATGTATTTATTTCCCGAAACGGAATATCTTCAACCCCGCAAAGCGACGTCAATCACCCCTCACCGCGCAACCGTCAATTCCATCGTTTGACAACCCCCAACAATCCTTCCATAATCTTTTTTCGACAAACTCCGAGCTCAAATCGACCGGTAATCTACAAAGCTTTCAATCAATCAGTGTTCAACACAGCTCGACGCTCGACCCCATCATGACAGAGCATGCGGATGTCCCCGACACAAACAAGGCCTTCGTGCCTCTTGGTAAGAACTATATCTCCAAGCTCAATCAATGATCTAAAGTATGAATACTAATACCTTTGCAGAAAACAACCCGGAAGTCATGTCCCACCTTGTCCACCAACTGGGCCTCCCACCCACCCTTGGCTTCACAGACATCTACTCAATCGACGAGCCCGACCTCCTCGCCCTCGTCCCCCGGCCCTCACACGCTCTTCTCCTCGTTTTCCCCGTCTCTCCATCCTACGAAGCCTCCCGCCTCGCCGAGGACGGACCCTTACCCGAATACACCGGCTCCGGCCCCGCAGAGCCAGTGATGTGGTTCAAGCAGACGATCCGCAACGCCTGCGGGCTGATCGGACTCCTGCACGCCGTGGCGAACGGCGAACCGCGCAAACATGTCATCGCTGGCTCCGATCTGGACGCTCTCCTGCGCGAAGCGGAGCCACTGGGTCCCATCGCCAGGGCGGATTTGCTCTATGAGAGTAAGGCGTTGGAGAGTGCGCATGCGGATGCGGCGCGGTTGGGGGATACGGCTGCGCCGCAGGCGGAGGATAACGTCGATTTGCATTTTGTGGCGTTTGTGAAGGGGTCTGATGGGCGGCTGTGGGAGCTTGATGGGAGGAGGAAAGGGCCGTTGGAGAGGGGACGGTTGGCGGATGACGAGGATGCGTTGAGTGAGAGGGCGCTGGAGTTGGGGGTCAGGAGGTTTCTGAAGACGGAGGCTGCGGGGGGTAATCCGGATTTGAGATTCAGTTTGGTCAGTCTGGGGCCTTCTTTCGATTGAGGCTGTTGACGAGGCTTTAACGGTGGTTGAAGTTGTTTATCATTGCGTGGTATGTTACGGATGTGTACAGTTTAGACAGGTTGGGAGGCTGTCGTGCCTCACCTACAGGCGTCTCGGGCGTTGGAACTGTCTTACCAAATTGTCAGATTCAGTGCATCATGGACAATCCGAAGCTGCTGTTTCGTATGCCAGATGGACCTTGAGATCATGGTAGCTACACAAGACGTGTACAAGCGTATTGAATGCCTCATCTCTTAGAAGTAAATAAAACCTTAGGCTTCAACCCACCAGTCTCCTGAATTGAAATTCAAAGCTTCATTCCCACAGGCCCACCAACCGGCAGTCAAATTACGCGCGAATACTTCTAACGCAGAGTACGCCACGCAAGTATCGCCCGTCGTCGGGCCAGCCGCTGACCTCGTGAAGAATACCTGCTCAAAAATCTCCTTGAGATTTGGCTTTCGAGAATGCACATCCGGGACGCCGGCGATGACCCTTCGCGTAATAGCATCAGCGGCATCAGACGGCCGATCCACTCTCCTTCCAATAACAAGGATCTCATACGGCTTCCGCCATAGCCCGTCCAGCGGCGTGATCGGCTCGCCCTTCGTCGTCGTCTTGATCCACACCCATTCTTCGTGCACGGACAACCCTGCTCCCTTGATGGCATCGTATGCAGCTCTACGTGCCTTTGGCGCGTTAGTTATCCAGATCGCCGCGATGGATAGCCGCTCCGGGTTATCCGATAGATGGATCTTCAGAATATCCCCTATGGGCTTAGACAGTAAGCCCATGACAGAATATGCCTGTGTCTGATAATGACCGCTGCGACGAACGGAGCGGTTCGACCATGGCGGGTCGAGGAGGATCAAGTTGAATTTGCGGTCCGGAGATAGACCCGGAATAGGGCCCTTGCTCGCCTCCTCCTCTGCTGATAACGGCAGCGAGCACAGCAAGAACGTAGACAATGGCGGCACGAAGAAGACATGCCGACGCGCCGTCGTTACATCGCAGTGCTCGGGTTCGGCCTCCACCTTGCAGCGGACATCCAGCAACGCTTGCGTCGAAGACGTATTCCTAACCACGACGTTGCAAAGTTCCGACATGGATTCGAACATATTCAATCCCGGCGACAGGATAACCGGCGGGCTGGTAGGAGCAGACACACCCAGCGCATCGTCCGCTGAGCACCCATCCTCGCACGATGACGTTCTGCTCCAAGGTCCGTCTCGTTTTCTCTTCAGCTGAGTCTCTTCATCTCGGACCTTTCTCACGCGACACCAGTCTGCAGTGTCCGAGTGGGCCCCGCTAATCTCCTGCAAAGCCCCCCGAACCAGAGGCTCAATGACCTCGGTCTGAAAGGCTCGTTCAGAGACCGGAATTCTACTGAGAACTCTAGCCCTTGCAGCATCCGACTTTGGCTCCGTAGATACTGTATACGGCTTCTCTAGGGGGCTTGAAGATAAGAGATGACGTTTCCTGTGGTTAACTATCCTGGCAGGGTAGGGATTGCACAGTGTGGCTCCCCACTGCACCGGTGAAAGTTCCTGTGCGGACGCAATAGACGTCGGGATATCGATCAAGAAGATTGTTTTTTCTGCATTTTGGTAGAGGATGGAGTGTTGTGGCATCATCCCATGGTGGTATCAGCTGGTTGTGGTAACCATGTGAGATGGTTAAAAGTGTTGTTGGAAGGGGAATCCGGCGACTACGCAAAATTTATCGCTTTACAGAGGCCCCGACCAGTCATCGTTATCAGCAGCACCAAATTGCAGGCTGTCACCATTAATAGAAAACAAATATGGAATTATACTGCATGCAGCGATGGATCTTAAAAGTGTGCCTTGATAGCGGCATAACCTGGTGCATCTTACTTGCTGTACAGGCGTTACAATTCTATACATGAGATCACTCATGACTGCGCGTCACACATTCAAAAACTTATAAAAAACCCTATATAAGCCCTCTGCCTCTGAGTGAGGCGTGGCGTCAGAGCTCTCAAGGCAAGCAGCGGCAGTAGCCACCGCCGATGAAACTATATTTGACAAAACTGATCATGACCGCACCGTATGCTTGGATGACTGTCGTGATGTCAAGGCTCGTTGACCGAGTATGAGACCAGTATTCTCAAGCAGATACGAACTGCAAGACTTTTCCACGTGTCGTTCCTCTTCCCCCCCCCCCGAGACGTGCCAGCGTCAGTCTAGGTATGTAGGGTCGTTTCGCTCCAGAAAAGCAGGTATTCCGTTTTTGATTTATGCTGAAAACAAGCGGGAAGAGATAAATTTGTACAAGGCGTAGACTTTCATCACAAAGTTGGTTCAGAGCGTCGAACATGCAAAATCAACGCTAAGCAACACAGTTAGGTCATGCACCATATCAACCATTCCGAGATGAACTTACACGTCCGCGACGTCCCCCAGCCGACTGTCCAGGGGCCTGAGGTGTTTGCGAATAGAATTGAGGAGGATACTGATACATCTGGGGCGTGCCCATGACAGGGCTGAACTGTTGAGGAGCAAAGGCCTGCTGGTTCAGCAACTGAGCGGGTGTTCCAGGCATAGGAACAGACTGCCGAAGACCATCCACGGACGGTGTTCCGGCTGGGTAGCCAAAGCTGGGGTTACCCAGAGCAGGATAAAGACCACCGGGCGAGACGCCCCGAGATTGGGCGGCTAGGTAAGCTTGATACTGCAGCTGTTGCTGAGTGAGGGGCATCAGGGGATCCTGGACAAACCCAGCACCGTTCATACCAGCAAGTCCATTGAGAGAGTTGACTGCACCTGCGGGGCTCATGCCATTGACAGCATTGATCGAGTAAGGGTCGAATGGCGTAGCGCTTGGTTGCTGCTCAGAAATGGATCTTGTGTTGTCCATGTTTTGAGCAAGAAGACCGGGCGCGAACTGTCCATTATACTGCCTATCCATGGTCGATTGCGCTTGCCGAGAAGTGGGACGATGCTGCTTATTTTCAGAATGACCTGAATGTTCACGCCCGTGATGATTGTCCCGAGCGCCTCCACGTGAAGACAGTCCAACCTCATCCATGAGGCGCTTGTAGCCTTGGTTGGGAGTCGCCTTCAATTTTGTGAGCACCTTTGCCACATTCTTCACGACATCCGCGCGCATTGACTCGTCGAAGAAAGGCGTGGTCAAGACTTTGAAGATCAGTGTGGCTCCAGAAGTCTGGTCACTCAAGATCTTCTCCAAGACCTCGTCCCCAGGGCTGAAGAACAATGCCCTTAAAACGATTTCGCGAGCCTCGGGCTCGTTGCGCTGATTAATCACTTTGAGCACGGTCAGGTAAGCGACCTTGTGAGTGCACAAATGGACCAGATGAGGAACAAGTCGTGGAGCAAGTACGGTACGGCGACGAGGGAACGTGCAGGTGTCCAGGAACCAAGTTAGCAGCAAGGCGCCGTTTGCATTTGTCGCGAGCTGTACGCTCTGAAGGGCAATGGCAGCCGCAAGCATCCGTTGCTGTTCTTTTGAGGCGTGGTGGCTTTCGAGACAGGCTCGCATGGCTCGAGCGCCGAAGCGTCCCTGAGCGATCTCCCACATACGGCTTAGCATGGTCTCGAAAATGAAGTCATTGTACGGAGCGCCGAAACGTAGGCAACATTGTAAGACGTAATTGCCGTATTGGTCAAGGAAAAGCGGCACTGTGTAGGGGCGAAGAGCATCAACAATCATGTTCATCTGCGTGGGTGTCTTGGCGACATCGATGATCTTCTGAGCAGCCCAGGTACCATTCTTGTGAACACCTATCTCAGCGAAATGAGGAGCAATGGGAACGAGCATCTGTTCTTTAGTCTGCTCTGAGCAGAACTCAAAGAGTTTCTGGACAACAGTATTGCCCAGATAATCGGAAGACAGTTCCGCAATCTCCGGGAGCATTGCGACTGCGGTTTCCTCAATCTCCTGAATTGAACAAGCGCCGTTGTCGATCCTCTTGCGGATGTCTCGAAGACGTGGAGCATCAAACATCCTGGTCTGGCTGGGTTCAGGAATAGGGGGGATCTCGTCTTCAAAAGCTTGATATGCGATGGCTCGCTGAATAGCAGCAGTGATGTTGAGTGTATCATCATCGGCAGCGCCAAACTCCTTGACTATCTGGATCATTTCCAGTTGAAGGTCGCGTAGGGCAGGAATTTGGGGCGCAGACGTGCCCAGAGCGTCAGACTTGTCCAGGCCGTCGGAAACACCAGACTTGAAATTTGGATCAGGAGTGGGTGAAGATTGCACGCCGTTAGCTCCAGGGGTGCCAGATGCAGAGCTGCCAGGAACTTTGGCATAGCCGATCCGAACGGGGCCTGCCCCTGGAAAGATCTCCTTGCCGTTAAGCAACGATTTGGCTTGCACGGCACTTTCCAGGCGTTCAAAGTTGACAAAGCCGCAGTTCTTGTGCGTCAGAACACGAGTAGACTCTATCTTGCCATACATGCCAAAGATCGCCTCCAGCGAGGTGACAGTCGTGGAAACTGGGATACTGCCAATCCACAAGGCTCGCGTGGGCCCATCTTGGTTGCTTTCATCAGTGGTCTCTCCACTCGCGCGAAGACCCAAATTTTGGCCACCATTACCTCCAAGATTCATCATCTGTACGGCTTCGGATAGCTCATCGTATTCACCGGTCTCGGCGATATGAAGATCGGCGGCGCTGAAGCTGTTCTCGAGGCGAGACGGAGTGGCAAGATAGTTGCGAATTGAAGATCTCTGGGGAGGAGCTTCTAACACACCGGCCGTTCTTGCTCGCGGTCGGTTGACCGAGGCATGGTTGGCGAATGCTTGCACAGCGAGATTATGTTGATGAATCTGGGCCTGGGTCGCAGCCAGTTGAGCAGCTGTCGCTGCGGCAGAAGGGGTCACGGTGCCAGAGGGGATTTGAGAATAGCGAGTGGCATACTCAAGATCCTCATCGTCTGCGTATTTCTCCTTGGCATTGACAGAATAAGACCGGAATCGGTTGTTATTTTTCATCATAGCCAGTTCAGCAAGCAGTGGCGGCAACGCAGATGCCTGTTGCTGTTGTTCTTGTTGCTGCAGGAGAACATCGACAGAGGGCCTTACAAGGTTGGCTCGTGCTTGTTGGGGGGTCTCCGCGAGTCCCAAGTAGTCCAAAGTCTTCACATCGGTATCCGCGAGACCGTCTCTCGAAAATGAGGATTGGCTGGGTGATGCAGGACCCTCCGAAGACCGGATACTCGTCAGAGTGGTCGCTCGATCACGCGCACTCGACCAGTTCGTGGAGAACAAAGAAGGCCCAAAAGGACTGGATGATGCAAGGTAATTTGTCCTCTGCGGCATTGAGCCAGCTCGGAGACGCGAGAGGGTGCCTGGATTGCTTGCACCGACAGTAGTTGCGGCCCTTGCGCCTGCGTCGATGCCAGACACGCCGGGAGGACGGAAGGGGCTTGTGGATGGTGTAGGCCGAGAGGTTTGAGATACGAATGTTTGTTGAAGGTTTGCTTCGTTCAAAACGCCAACAGGCGAAAAACGCGAAGGAACTGTGCCAGCTCTGGCACGCCTGGAGGGACCATTAATCGATCCGGTAGTCGTAGGTATCAAGTCAGGAAACCCTTCCTGGCTAGGAGACTCGGGGATATTTTCGCGCAACGGGGTGGAGTGGCCACTAGTAGGGGGGCCCCAAATACTCGGCGAAACGCCTTCTTCCGCTTGAATTTCTCGCGCACTAAGTACAGAGAAGAAGGATGATCAATACAGAGCACAAGTCGTAAGCATGAGGGCCCGAAATTTTGGCAACTTACCGTTTCGAGTATAAGCGAGCGCCAAGCTCGTGAGAAGGGGATCCAGCCCCTAGCCTTGCGCCTCCAATTGATCCCCCTGCGCTACCAAGACCATTTGCAGCCCCAAATGCAGATTTGACAGCGGCAGATGCGGACAAGTCGCTAGGGGAACTGCGCCCCGTAGAAGTTCCAGACATCGGTTGGGAGGTTGGGATATAATTGAGGTTCATGTGACCCTCCGGTCGAGAGACAGGTAGCATTATATATTATGACCCTCCACCTCAAGAAGGCGACTGCTTTTTCCAAGATGCAAAGCCGGTAATATTCGTAGCCAAAAATGTACCGGAGTGACTGAGTATGACGGGAAGTGATTTCTCAGTTGGGGATCTGAGTCGAAGGAACCATGGGGCACAACGTAAAGTTTCGGATACTCGTACAGATACTGACAAAGGCCGTCGTTGATCCTGGTGAAGTAACAAGATCGACAATTGACCGGCAGAGCGAATGGGTTAGCTCAAATTGAACACGCTGGAGAACGTTGTCCGTGGCGGGGTCAGATTTGGGGTGCTTTTGTCGCAGGAGAGATTCGTAAGCTTCGCACAGTAGCCGAATGTTCGGAGAACGAGACAATATACGCGATGAATATCAATATGGCTCAAATGTAGCCGTCTATAAAATGCGTAGACGACAGCAGCTTCTAACCGACGGATGTCTTGGAGAGCCAAGCTGCCACGGTTTGCTGATATATTAGGTGGTCGGATTTAAGATCTATCACTGCGTCGCTCTAGAGAACGCCCCGGAAGGACTGTGAAGAAACAAAAATGTCGCTCAAGCTATAACCGGCCGAGTGAGTGAGGTAAAGAAGAAGCGACGATTGAAACGAATCCGAAAGGGACGAGGTGGCTGGAAACGAGGTGCGCGGCTGCGCAGAGAGGCAACGCCAAAATAAAGAGAGGATGAAGGGTAGAGAAATGACAGGCGACAAGCGGTCACTAAATAAATCCTTAAGATGGAAAAGATTATTTAAGAAGAGAATATAGAAATGAACTCAGGAGAGAGAGAAGAAATTAGATGGAGAGAAGAAGGAGGCACAAGTAGTAGATGATAGAGGATTGATGGATTTGGCCTGTTGAGTGAGAGGATTGAGGAAGCGAAGAACTTGGGTCGAGGAACCGAAAAGGGAAGTTTGCTTGGTTTGATTTGGTTAGGTTCCTGAGGTACCAACTAAGTTGCCGGATCCCGGAGATGTCATGTCAATAGGAATTCCCAGTTGACTGTTGACAGATAGGTATTGTCCCTTTTTAGCATGATCTACTACCGCTGCGACTGTTTATTAATTGTTCCGATAGTTAACCACTGTTAACCGACTGTGATTTTTCAAAATGTCCGACTCGAAAGCAGTTCATTGATCCGAATTGGATCAAGAGAACTGAACTCGAGATCCTCGATYGACTTTTGACCCACTACGAGGATGGGAACTGCTAGCCAACATCCGGCCTTCCGCTTTGTATGATTTGGTCTTATGGCTCGATTTTGTTCTCTTCTACCAAGTACTCAGTATAGAATTACCTACAACCAGGTAGATTTGCTGGTCACGTCGTGTTATCAGCGTCTTATTTAACTGAAACTCATCAGAACTTGTTATATGTAAGAATTGGTCTGATACTGAATGTTCACATAATGGGATTATCCCCTTACACTTACTTATCGGCTCATAGCCATGGATGACTGTCTCTCTCTCAAGCCACTACATTCATAGACCAGTAAAACCTGAGGGAGCAGCAGTCACTGGACGATTTATGGTTTGAAACGTCCTAGCCCCCCGCATTCCAGCCATGGTGCGTGATGCGTCTGGCACCCTGTCATGCAGTTGGTTGACGGCCACAAGAAGGACAAGGCCGTAAGGTAAAAAGGACAGGTTCTTGGACCAATCATTACTCCGTACTTCATAGGAGAATTATACCTCAGCGTTTGACAGAGAAGTTTGCTAATCTGCTGAGGCAAAGGGAGTAGTTATGACCCTTGGCAGTGACTCCTCACGCATAGCTAGACAGATTTTCGTTTTCCTAATATGTTGGAGCTCTCTGAATTTCCAACTATACAAGCTGCTTATAACGGCGCTCAACCTAGGCGATTGTGTACATGTACCACCATTGGTTAGACTTCCCCGAATACATCTGCACCTTCCTAGATTCACCCATCATAAGCCACAGAGTAGACTGGGGAGGCTTGAGGGATGTTTGGCATCTCGCGTTCGATCTTGGAGCTAGATATCTATATCACGCATGTTCTACTGCAACAAGCAGGAAATATGAAACGATATAGCTTGGAGGATTGTAGGAGAGACACAATTCTTACCAGTCGTTATCATACGTATACCCGACAGATCGTAGGGAGAAGCAAAGTAGGTAAGGTAGGTAGATAGTGAGTGTGGTGTTCCAGTCGACTTGAGGGCATATATGTATGCCTTACGGCCTGAGGCAGTCCGCCGCCACCAACGCACCGCCTTGGATGAACTTTCTACGATCGCCTACCTCTCTAGAAAGCTAGATAGCTCCAGCCATTGCCTGATACGAGCATTCCATCTCTTCTTCAATACAACTTTCTTGTGCAGGTGTTTTCGCTTGCGAATTATTGTTTCCTTAATGTCCGCGAGTCAAATAGAGCTAATGTCATCCACGTGATACTGCACGTCTTACGCAGGCAAGGTCCTCACAAATCCACGATTCATTGCACCCTTCTGGCAGTCAACCCTCGGAGCTACAGTATGGCAGACGACAAGGAAACACCCGCGGAAGGAGAGGTGGTGGAATCCCTCATTCAGGGACGCGCAAGACGAAGTACAGCAGGGCGCCATCTGTCCGCCCTTCTGAACGCGGAAGCAGACGACGAGCTCGCGCTCCTGTTCGAGGAAGTAGACGATGACAACGAATTTTCAATTAACGAAGAGGAAGAAGCAGGAGAAGAGGATGACCTGGCTTTGGAATCATCCTCTGATGACGATGAAGACCAAGGCCCGAATGTCCGCGGCGATGATCTCGAAGGCGAGAAGGAGATCGAAAAGGAAGCCAAGGCCGACCGACAGAAACGCAGAGCACGCGAAGATCTACGACTGAAGCTGGCCCGGAAAAAAGTCAAGATCGACCCCTCCGCCGTCTCCGCAGTACCTGCCCCTCGACCCAAGAAGAAATCGGAACGTATCTCGTGGCTTCCCATGGTTGAAGATGGGCCTACGCGGTCGTCCTCGCGTCGCCAGACGATGCAGAACAAACAACTTACACATGCGCGGCTCAAGGATAGCGAGGAGAAGCGTATCCGGCTCATCGCGACTATGGAAGAAGCTGCTAAGAGGAAAGCGCATCTGAAACCGAAGGCGATGACGCAGGCGGACCGTCTAGCAGAAGCTGAAAGGGTGGAAAGATTGAATAGCAAGAGTCTGAGTCGATGGGAGGAGATGGAGAAAAGGAAGGCCGAGGAGAGACGGGCCAAGATCGAGGCGCTACAGAATCGTCGTCTGGAGGGACCCGTCATATCTTACTGGAGCGGCATCGCTACATGGGTCAATGGCCGCTTGACGCGTGTGGGCAAAGTTGACATTACGCCGAAACCTGAGAAGGAGGAGACTACACGCAAGAAAAGCAAGAAGACGGAGAAGGAAGAGAAGAGTACGGCCGAGAAGCCTGCTCAGAGCACTCCTGCGGTGCCTGCTACTTCGCAGACCGCTTCTCTAGAAGCCTCTACTCCTCAAGGAACACCTGCTCAAGAAGATTCTGCGAAGGCTCCCCAGAAAGCAGAGGAGACAATATCCATTCCTCAGGAGCAAGACACAGAAAAAGCCACGACGACATCTGAGCCTACGCAGGCCACCTCCGCCCCAGAAAATTCTACAATCCCAGAGGGCTCTGCAGCTACAGCAGAATCTACAAAACCCGTCCCACCAGCTGAATCAACACCAGCGCCCGTTGAGGCAAACACAGAGAAGCCTCCTGATTCAGAGCTGCCAAAAATAGAGACAGGCACGTCTAAAGAACCAGTGGAAGTCGAAAGTAAAACTACTGGTGAGGCCCCACAGGAAAACGAGACGGCAGCAGCTGGCACAAAACTGCCGGGCGAAGCACCGAAGGATCCGACACAGTCTGCGGCGCAAGTACCGGAAGAGAGACCCGCGCCGAATCCCGACCTGTCGAAACCGGAGGAACTGCCGTCGGGAGTCCAGCCGGATGGTTCTTCTAAGACAACGGATGCTGAGGGGCCCACGAACGAGAAACCCTCGTCCGAATCTAAAGTGACCCCTTCTGCTACTTCTCCGCCAGCCACCCAAGTTCCTGCTGCCGCGCCTACGCAGACAGGCCAGCAAGAGGAACCAAAAGCGTCGGCATCAACCGAGCAGGAGCAAGTAGCGCCTGAGATACATGTGGATCAGCCTGCTTTCTCGAGTGACGGCGCACCACAACCCCAAATCCCCGGTCCGCCTCCGGTGGTCAAGCAAACGGGACGATGTCTGACGATTCTCGAGAATTTTGATGAGGAGACTGCGCAGAGTCGCGAGTTTAGCATTTATTTCAATTCCAAAAAGCCTCCCCGACTGACCAGTACGTGCACTTCCTCAGAGCCACTCCGTCTAGATGGCCAAGCTGACTTATTGTCTAGAAATCTCCTCGTCTCTCTGTGTTATCACGTCTCTTCCTTCACGTTTTCGAGATCCCGAGACCTCCCTCCCTTTTGCCAACGCATATGCTTATCGCGAAATCCGACGGACCGTTGCCCAAAAGTCTGCCTGGAGTCCCATGCTAGGCTGTTATGTTGGTCCTGTCGGTGTTGCGGCGCGTGGAGTTCCAGCGAGATTCCTCAATCCTGACGCCCCAAGTGAAACCCAAGAGAGCGAGAAGAACGATGGCAAAGACAATGAGGAAGGACCTGCATCTGCTGCTCCTGGGAAGCCGGAGGGTGAGATAAAGACTTCCGGGGGTGTTTCCAATCCGCCTGCGCCAGCTGCTCCTGCTACACCAACACCTGTGGCAGCGGGTGGCGTGGATCCAATGGACATTGATAAGCCTTGATAAGGCTCCCTACCACTTGGGCAGTGCCCATTTGACTGGGTACGCCTTTTTTCTGTATGATAGGTCGTGTAGATTAGATACCCAGATGAGTTTACTTTACCTTTAATGCTTAGGTGTTTGACATTGCGGTCCATATCTGCTTACCAGGATAATTGCGCTGTTGTACATCCTCTACAGATTTCGAAGCCGATCAACCAATT